ACGGCGATTCATGATGCCTTTCTTGCCGGAGAGGATGCAGCAGCTTTGGCTGCACCCTTGGCCGCAGGTTTGACGCCGGCCTGTCAGGGTCACAGCGGGGAGAATTAGAGCCCATGGCCTGTGGCTTTTGCCATTTCTCTAAAGTCTTCCACACCTCAGTAGATGAGGGGGCATGATTTGGAGAGATCGTCAATGGTAACACCCATTCTGCAAATAGGATCTTGAAATGGGACCTATCGCAAACATCAAGTCTATCTGTTACCTAAATAGTAAGCAAAGACTAACCCATCGTCGGGCAAATTTGTCCAACGTAGGCTATGAGCCATTTTGTTGAATTTGTTGCAAGACTCCAGGCATGCATCGGCCGCGCCTGCTTGAGTACGGCGGCCTTGTCTTTGGCAGTGAGAACATCCCAGCCAGCCTCAGGCGATCTCGGGCGTGTATCAACAATAGGTCTCTAAATAATAGGTCCACAATGGTCCAACAGTGCTGCCCAGCAGGCCTGTGAGGAAGCGAGATGTCCGCAGCAAGAACAAACGTGTCCATTCACAACAAAAAATCAGCTACATAATATCGTGTGTGCTCTTTGTCTAAACATAATCACACATCTAAAGGTTGGTTGATACGCAGCCCCTGGACATTCCCTTATCAGGAATTCGCACTTTTGGGGGGCTTGGGACATGAAGAACCAATTTTTGTCAAGCATCCCACCAGCATAGATCTCCAAAGTGGGTTCAGGTGAAAAAGGGCATCATAAGGTTCAGAAGGAAGGCCACACTCTAAGTTTCATGATCAGGTTTCATGATTCAAGTAAGTATTGGTATAATATAGTCACAAAGTTCGGACTGAAGGTTCAAGAGCACTGTTTGCTTCAGGAAGACACTAGTTGTAGACGCAAGTGTGTGCTCCACACATGGCAGTGGCATCAGTGGAGAACCCCACGCAACATCTGCGCTGGATCTCCGCTGCATCTTTGTCACTTATGCGAGAGTTGCGAAAGGGTTTTGTTGTGGGATGTTGTTCTGGGTCACAGGATCTGGTTGGTTTTGGGGAAAAGCGAAGTGTTGCTATTCATTGTTCATCTAAGACTACATTTCTTGGGGAGACCAGAGTCTGGCTTTCTATCCTGGTGGCAGACAAATCCCTCTTGCAGACTACTTTACAGCATTTCAGTGGTGAACGCATGTGGTTTCGCCTTCACTTCTTTGTTGCAGCAATGTAAGCAATATGACTGACATGAGGTCGACCTGCGCAGCTCTGGACGTGGGACACGACAGCTCTGGAGTCCGGTCTCTGCTCGGGGGACACGACAAAGTAAATGGCGGTCGTTTCCCCGGAACAACTTGCAGAAACAAGTGCCACGCTAGTATATAGTAACAGGTGCCTTACCAGTAGTAACAAGAAGCTAGTAGGAACAAGTGCATCACTACTAGTAACAAGTTGAGTTAGGGACATCAGACCGGCGTCGAGCTTCGAGAAGGAAAAAGAGAAAAAGAACGTCCCGAGTGAGCCAATCCCCATCTCTGAAGTGAAGAACATGGTCTTTATTTTGGGAAAGTATTTGAAAGTCACCAATTTTAAACTCGTATTATCTCATATTCATGGTTATACAGTTATACATTGTGGTTACCAGTACCATGTTGCGTTGTTGAAGTGTTGAACGGCCGAATTCACCCGCTTTCGCCCGCGTTTCTACCCTCACGGTCTCTCTCGATGCGTCTCAGTGGCCACCGATTCAATGGAGCCCACCTGAAAAACCGGTCTGTCGCTTGTTTCGTGTTCGTGTCGCTTCGGCAACACTGGGGGCAACACTGGGAGCAACAAAAACGGACCATCCATGACCATCGCCAAAACGGAAGTCCTTTAACCTTAGAACTCAAGAGAAGATCCACTTGTGTAAGTCCATTTAGAACTCCCACCATCCACCTGGATCCAAACCACATGACTGCAAGAAGCAAATCGGCCACCCAGCTCCGTCAAGCGGCAGTCTGGCACTGGAGAAGCCACAAAGATTTATGCGACTTCGTTGTCGAGATGGGAACTTGGACTCTACCCATCCCCGCCAAGCCCATATTGCCAACAAACCATTTGGACCTAGTCGAAAGGAAGGCTGGCTTCATTTTTCTTTTACACTGGGTGTTGTGGTCGACACACGAGTGATTTCTGACAAAACTCTAACAGTTGAAGTCCAATCGTGCTGTAGGATATGTATACTCAAATGAGCAAAACACCTTCCGCATCATTCACAACCTGTTCCGCACTGTGCCCGGGCCTTGTTGATGATATTGGAGAACTGTTTATCGGTCACACACTTCAAGCAGCGATAGCTGGCCTCACTGCGTTGAGAGATCAGCCCAAACACCCCACAGGAGCATGAGAGCATGAGAGCATGAGCTGTTGGCTATTCATTTCTGTTGGGTCAAAACATGTTCTGAGTGTGGGTTTTCCAAACCATTTTTGTTGATGGTGGGTGGGGCTGCTGATATTGAGTTGAACATATATATATATATATACCATGTATTTTGCAGAACAAACGGGGGATGGCCTCACATCTAAATGTTACCCTACCAATGACAACACATGGTACTTCCTGCATCCTCATAAGAGCAGCACAGTGTGGAAGTGCAGACCCTTCATGGCCGAACCAATCCAAAACAGATTGCACCTAACACCATCCCCCATCAAGCCCCCGACCGTTGGCAAGAGCACCATGGAAAATCAATAATATTACGTATGACACTTGCTCGTTTTCTGCACACACACATATAACGAAAATGGTGTAGTTGTGTGCAAGCCTGCTGAATCCTTGCTAAGCGACTATAGTATAGTCGCCCATGCCATCGGAGCTGGTGCCCAAACGGATGGCACCCTTCTCGATCTTCTCACCGCACTTACCCTGCCAATCACGAGACTTGTGGTGTGTGCAAAGTTCCAAGCGAGCTACAAGGGCCAGCAGCCATGGAACACGGAAACTTCTGGTTCCGCCTGTGCAGAGTCCAAGGATGTCCAGTCCAAGGTCCATGGAGTTCACAGCATGGCAGCATGGCAGGCACTGGGGCCTTCCACATCACACTCCAAGGATGCTATTCAAGTTCTTGTTGATCCATATTGTATTGTTTGTTTTGTTTTTTTTTTTAAGCAAGAAGACCACATCTTCTTTGCACAGCAATCTAGACTTGATTGGCCCTCTCACCTCTTGGAGATGTCTTTCCCAGTATCATTCTGTATATTCACTCTGCTATGCTGCTATGCTTATGCTATGTTAATCTATGTTAATCACTATTCTATATTTGTTGGATGGTATTCGATGTTGCACTCGGTTGTTGTTCTTAGTCTTACTTCAACTTATCACAGCATTTCACTGCAGCAGTCCGCTTGGATCATCTTACTCAATTCTCAGAACAGGTGCAAGTTGTCAATTGTCATCACAAAGAGAGGTCGTAGATATGCCTTGATTGGTTGAAAACAGTGCAGTTGAAACAGACTTGCTCCAAGGACATTGTGCAGCATCAAACTCAACCAAAGCAGCGGGGTGCCTGGGTGATTCTTTGACCCATGCCTCACCAGCAGATAGCAATTCTTCAATGTAGCTAAGCAGGCCCTTAACCATTCCCACGCGAAGGTGAATCAACACCCTTAGGATTTATCCCAAACAATGAGGAATCGCAAAAGAACCTGGTGGAATTCATGGTGGACATTCCCCCAGCTAGTAAGGTAACTGGTGAATTCCCCGACCTTGTCAACCTGACCGGAACTCTCCACTGAGCTCTTCGACATCGCCTTGCACTTTGCCCGGTTCGTTGGCGCATAACTGAACTCATACGACATGGCGAGGGGCACTTTGGAAGCTGCTGAACGACCAACAGAGGTTAAAAACCTGTGGCCCATCCCATATTATCATATGCACTCCAGTAAGATCCCAGTACAGTACAGTACATGGGTTGACGTGACATTGCTTGATTGTATAGTTGCCGACACCTGAATATCTGAAGGTAAACATGAATCTTAACAGTTGACACCTGGATGTGACAGTTTCGTCAATTTGCCTAGCAAACAATATGCATGTCTAGAATAATGCTAGAGTCGAGAGGTATTCAGGAAACCTGGAGCAAAGGGACACCTACTTCTGCAAAAATGGCAGGATCATGCAAGATCATCCGGATTGCTTCCGAAAGCATCGCAGCTGGCTTGAGCGTGTTGTGCACGCTGCGCGGGTCTCCCTTGGGACAGAATTTTCCCAACAGCATTGACAAACGGAACCACTGGATCCCCAGGGTTCGTGCCAAGTGTTATCGAATGAATGATAAAGGCTCCTGATCGTCTACAATTTACTCACTTGACTGCGAATGAACCAACCAACCAACCAACCAACCAACCAACTTCGAAGCTTCCCTTCCAAATTTCAAACATCCCTTGGAGACAAAGACATAGAGTCATGTTGTCATGGCATATCTGGGCGATATGCACTCGAGGCGGTTTGGAAACCCAGAAACCAACACCATGTTGACATCCCTGGGCCATCCATCCGGAGTCCAATGGACGCCTACAAGTAGTGTTTTGTAATGTTTTGTAGGGCCTTGGCAACCTCTTGGATGATCTGGAAGTTCGGCCCTCAAAAATGTCTGAGCTTCACTTCACCTGCTAATTATGCCAATTCATCCATGTTTCATGTTCATCCCTGTCCCCGGTCTGTGTAGGGTGAAATTGCTCAAGAGTCTTAAGCTGAAAGAGTCATGGACGCACCAGGCCCCAACCGAGCTCGGTTGATGTGGTGGGTGCTGCACACCCCTCCTTGAAAGGGCACAAAGCCAAGAGTCGGTTCTCAACAGACCGTGCTACTGGGTGAACTTGTCTGGACCAAAAAAGGACCCAACGAAGAACCAAATGAAGAAGCCAACAGCTGACGGCCGCCGACGGTTCGTTCCTGAACCCCCAAGAATTGATAGAGGCCATCGCTACTAGGGTGGAGCCATCGCAGTAGGTTAGACCTGATTGCAGTCCTTCATCACCATGCACCAAATCTGAGCAAACTGGCCAAACTTCTTGCCCATCGATGGGCCGCATACCTGGGTCCACATGCGAAAAAGGTGGTGGTCAGAGTGTCGACCAGGCCGAGAAGAAACCCTTGGCACAGTGAGGAAGTCAGAGCCATTTGGCTAGAACATGCTAGTACTCATTGGTCCAACAAGTGGCAAATCCATACAACTTCCTCAGCCGCTGTGGATGTGGCAAATCTACAACTTAGGGACGTCAGCACAAAAGCCAGGTCCAATGGAAGAATCTGTCTTCACAGCCTGAAAAGCCTGTCTACCAGAGGAAGTGAAAAGAACAGTTTGGGCAGATTGGGTGGGCAAAGGAACAAAAACTCCTTGACACCATTTTGCGTTCCTAGTTTGTGTTTCTATATGTTTACTGTAAATGTGTTCTAGTGTTGTCCTATTTGCTTTGAATATTGCATATGTTTCCTACGTTTCTCTATGTTGGGCCCATGAGCTGAATAGTATCCCTGTATTAGTAACCCAGCGCTCATGAATGATTGGAACAGGCCATATTTTGGGTGATTGGTAGTCCAAAACGGGGATCAATACGGCTAAGGGTTCTATTCGATGTTCTAGGGAGGCTTTGCGGTGTTCCTAGGCAGCTCTTCTTCTACATTCTTCTATATTTTACATATCAAGTTGGAGATTATACAACACGCTCACACATAACTACTAATGTTAACGTACCAGTAGCAAAGCATTTGACAATAATAATTAGTTTTTTTTTGCCTGCCAGAATTTTACAATACAAGTTTTAATTGCGCCCAAATCGAGACCCCAAAATGGATAAACATTTTGTTTGTCAATTGCAACATTTGTCAATAGTAATTAGCTGTTGGTCTGCCAGAATTTTACAATACTAGTTTTAATTGCGCAAACAGCCAGATATCAAAATGCTTTCAGGCCAAATGGCCTGGAGTTTCTTTTTAAACATAAAAGTTCAGGTTTTTGACTACCCCCAAAAAACAATCATAAGGGGGGTTTACTGATGAGATGTTAACATTATATAGTTATATATATACAATTATATACATACATGTTATGTTATGATGTTGTATTTCCCACAACCGACATTGAACATCATTGAACATCTTCTTCACACCAACCAACTGAGAATCCACGTATTCCGGTGCCGCGTATTGTATTTTAGTCGTGGCAAAAAGTACAGCAGCTTATTGTCTGGGATGGTCCAGTCCCGCCTTGGGTCTGAGACCCACATGAAACCGTTTCGTATCCACTAATCAAACGGGAGGAGGGACCTAGTCGTCCAGTCTGGTCCAATCTTCGATCCTGTGACAATGGGGCTCCTGACCACGCCCAGCCGGCCCAAGGTGATGCACACATTCTGCCTGGCAGAGGCGCGAGGTGGAGTCAGGTGAGGCGGCCCAGGCCAGACAGGTGGGAGACCAACTTGAGCTAGTTGACGTGAAGACACCACTGCCGACAAGCTGAGCTGAGCAGCTATGAACGCTGGAACGCTGAGCACCAAAACTGAGCACCACTGCGACTGCAGCTATGGAACGCTCATGAGCTGATGTTCGTTACAAGCAGATCCTGAACGGTCCGAGGCACACTGTTGTTGAACCGAACCGTTGTTGTACCTTGGCCACTTGGCCACTGCCACAACGAGGTCCAAGTATCGTGCCTTCCTCACCAGAATGGCTAGATGATGCTTGCGTTCATCCAGCTGCACTAGGCACACCTCGGTGTGGTATTGGCAACACACATGGTTCTTTTGTTCCAAGTCGACGATGGTTCAAGTCAACCTGGTTGCTCGGCAGCTTGGCTTCCAATCTGAGGCTTGGATCATCGGAATGGCTTTCAAGAAGGGCACTGTGGTCTTTGGCATTCATGACTGAGGGCGCACAGCCTCCGTTGTTGGAAATAAGCCTTGAGCAGGACTGATGGCCAACTTCCTCAATGCACTGACAAATTCTTTAAAGACCGGTTTCTAGGCGTCACTGGCCAGTCCAAGGTCCGATGCCAATGGCTCAACTAAATTTAGTCGAGATGTGCTTGCTGGCAGTGTACTGAGACTGGTCGCACATGCATTCTCGCAGCCAGCATGCACATCAGCAAATCCTCCAAAGTTGTAATTGGCAAAATTATATGGCGGTGTACATTCTAATAGAGTCTGATAGGTGACGGCTAAGGGAAGAGCTACCCAACAAACCTTAAGTTCTTTAATTCTACACCCTTCTGTCAAAGATCTGTGACAAGGATCACTGTTGTCTCCCTTTCCAAGGCTTTCCTCCCATCATCGAAAGCTTTCCAGAACAGCACGCCTCCATCGGGCGTCGTTTTAAAGGTTTCGTCGGGCTTTCAGCCGTGTCTGAGATCGCATAGAAGATGGATTTCACACAAAAAAAGCAAGATGCATTCACAGTTGAAGACATGGCGGAGGCACATCAACAGTGCCTGTCTCTGGCTTGGCTGTGTCGACCTGCAAGCAGAGGCGGCCAACGAGCGATCTCGCGCAGTGGAAAGCCGCAGGGACAAAAACGCCCAAATGCAAATGGTCTCATGCTGCATGTCCAATCAATAAACCTCTTAGTATATCCAGGATGGCTACAGCTTTGCCGTGGGAATGCTCAAATCATTGAACATCCCATTAACCAACAGTGATGGATGACGGGTCCAGTTCTCGGTGGTCAGCAAGCGAGGTCTGAGAAAGGCCAGTCACACAATTGGTTTCCTTGAAGAAACTCTATATAGTCGCCATTCGTCGCCTGTATAATTAATGACTGTGTTGCACTACCATATCTATCTTTGGGCGGGTAGACTGCAGCAGTAAACAAAAAATCCGTCGCCGTCCCAGTCTCACGTGCCTCAAGGACGAGATCAAAGCATCCACAACTTCATCCAAGTAATTAGCCATGAAGTCCGCGCCCACCTCGACATGCCAAGATTTGTGAGGCGTTCGACGACACCGACACATCCAATGACATACTCCATACTCGACCAGCTGATTGGACCCCTACAACTCCTACAGCAAGGTACCTTCGGATCCATAGAAGTATGAAAGGCAGTGACTGTGGTTACTTACAAAGAGTATGAAAGATATGGACTTCTTCTCACAAACAGTATGGACTTCCTACTCTTACAAAAACAAAATATGTGGAGCCATAGAAGATCATAGAAGTATGAAAGCCTTCGGATCCACGGGCACTCTGAGGCTGAGCAGGCAGTGAAGGTTCTGGAGGGTTGGCTCCCGCGACCGGCGACCGTTCAGTATGTCGTCGTCCAAAAGCACTCAAAAGAACATACATATGGTGAACTGCAAGGGTAGTGACATGATTCTGATGGTATATGTACGTACGGATGATGAAAAAACACACATCAAGTCGTCGTGACTGTGGGATACATCTGAGGCACCTGCCGTCCCAGACGTCGTATGTGGTTCTGGGATCACTTCGCCCCCAAGAGGGAGTCACGTCAGTTGACCAAGTGAACACTGGCTGCAACAGCGGATGAATGGTCCGAATATGAGAAGCTCTCAAACATTTGTAGCCTCTGTCCCATGCAACTTTTTTATCCAGATTGTCATCTTGGAGAGACCACGGGTATACCATGGTATAACATTGTCTAACTTACCAATAGGAACATGTGCAAATGCAAGCATACGCAAGGAAAGGCAACCTGTCATTCACCTTGCCCAGGATCACCTCTAGTCTCTCTCTCTCTCTCTCCCTCCCTCCCTCTCTCTCTCTCTCCCCCTTCTCCAGTCAGTCTTCCCATCTGCGATCGGCGGAAGACGCTCCCTCGGCGCGGCAACGCGCTCTCCCTGAGCCGGCGGAAGAGGCGACCGTGGCCTTGATGCAAATCTCACCAACGGCCCAAGACGCATTGTTGCTGACCTGACCAGCTTTCCAATTTTTCCAGATCCGGAAGCAGCTCTGCGTCAGGAGAAAGAGTTGCGGCAAGCACCCAGCAAAACAATCATCATTATTCAAGAAAGCTTCTCTGGCCATGAAGGGAAGAAACTAAAATTTGGATATCTTGCATCCAAGAATCCAAAAATGTGGGAAGCTCATCATGGGTTTCAGCATGAAAGGAAGCTCACGTTTTGCTAATACACAACAGGCTAAGGCCCAGAAAGAGTCAGCTTCCTTCTTTCATCTCTGACTCGACGACGGAAGCTGCGACTCTTTCTGGCTTCCCAAAGCTGCCAATCTTTCTTTCTCGCCCCAAACAACTATTGCTATAAACAAGGCTCTCAGAAACTACAGGTAACTTAACTCTTAAATGTGGATCCATCACGAAGCCTACGTGGATTCATCACGAAGCCTACGCGACAAGAGTAACCCGTGTCCAGGAGCCCGGCCGTCGCGGAGGTATTCTCCCGAAGAGCCTTTGCACCTGAAAAAGGGAGGCAAACACCGCCCGCGTCACTCCGTGTCTTGCGAAGTGACGGAGTGAGAGGGCGAGAGAGTGACGAGTGAGAGCCGGCGAGTGGAAGCTGGGCCGTGTCTGGAATTTGGAAGCTGGGTGCAGCTTCGAATGAGCCATTTGAAATTTGGGTGTTGCGGTCGTGATCATTGAAGGTGATGTTTGTTTTGTCTTTCATCGATTCATCCAGCATACATATTCCTCCATGGGATTTTTGAGGGTCTTTGCGAGGCCTCCCTATTCAAAGCACATCTACACGAACAAAAACTCATGCAAAATGGACCAACCACCGCGAAACCACCCCGTTCGTCCCAGGCTATTTTGGACAACCAATCACTCGACCTCAGGCGCTTGCGGCGCTCGCGGCGCTCGCTCACCCGCCGGACGCCGTTTCTTGGAGCCCAGCATTGGGGCAATAACTGTGGCAAAAAGGGAGCCAAATGCCTGAGAAAGCTCTAGTCCGGATTGTGTGGTCGATCTGTGAATAGCAAAAGAAACAACCGGCCAGATGGTGTGGTGTGCGGATCCCTCAATAAAGAGGCTATACTAGAGGCTATATAGATTATACGTATAGTATAGAAATGCCCAAAGAAAAAGAACTGGCAACGACTATCCCATGCACGGTCTAACACGCACGTGTGGCCTGTGAAGCTCTGGGTCGTCCTTCTGTGCAAAAGCAAGTGATACCTTCCGGATGGGGAAGTAGAACGGCACACCATAGACTTCCAACTGTGTTCGAACAATGCAGCGTTGAAGAAAGCATGAACAAATATGTGAGAGCATGGGAGCCGTAACTAACTGCTTCGCCCAAACCTGCTTCAAGTATGACTTTGAGATACTTTGAGGCTTCCTGCTCTGAGTCCTCCTGCAAAGCCTTGTCACAAGCAATCGATCTAGTGCTTAACATATTCAGTGCAGGCTTGTTAAATAAGGTTGTGTCACTTTGGACCCTCAATCTCGCCCATTTATTGAATATATTGAATTGGAGCTGAGAGTTTCAGACCTAAGCAACTTTCTGCGCCACTAGGTATCTAACTCATTTGCCTGAAAAAAATGGCACACCCAGATCCGCAGAATGTCCTGCTTTTGGCATGAGGCTCCCGAATCAGCCGAGCAACTCAATGCAATGCTTCGCAGAATCTCCCACGAGGGCAAAAGCGCTCTGTTTCACCTGGCGCAGAATGACATCGGAGATCCGATAAGATTGGAAAAGGCGATCACCGCAAGGTCAGAAGTGGCTGCCAATCACAGCTTGTGTCTCTGTACAATATCCGGCAGCAGGCAGCATTTGAGCATCACTTAGAATGGCAATCACACCAGCATGACTTAGATTGAACCTTGGAGTCGCCACAAAGATTGTTTGCCTGGCAAGGAACAAGAATGCGGGCTACATATACAGTATAAGAAACGGGCGATGTTGTGGTATGTATCTGATGTACTACAGCATATGTGGTGTCCATATCAAATTCGCTCATCTTCTCGTCTCCTCGCCTGCAGTGCGCTGTCCTTCAGGACTTCAGGCACTACCGAGAGGAAGTTCTGCTGCTGCAACACCTCGAGCTGTAACCGTGGAGATAGCCATTGCTGGGCCCTAAAAAGGCTTGGACAAATGGACGGAGAACTTCACCCGGTCCGAAAAGGAATGTGGCCCTGAAGCAGTATGTTCTAGAACGACAAGTGAATCGCCTAGTTATTGTTTGTGTTTAAAGACTTCAATAATCTTCAAACGACTTAGACTCAAGCTACATATAAATATATATATATGCATAATATTGGTATATCTAAAACATCGAAATCTCCCCTTTCCATCCCTTTTGCTGGCACCTCAGCGACCTTGCCCTGAAGGCCGGCCACAATGCCGGAGAGCAGGTCGATGCTGGCGGCCATGACCTCTTCGAAGACTTGTCCGGACACAGGGGCTTTTGGGAAGTACTACACATGTCCAAATCAAATTCACCTATCATATGTCTTGTACATAATTGTATGTAGTATGTAGTGTATATATATATATAGAGAGAGAGAGTGAGCGACATCGAATATTCGTGACCTTGGAGATGAGGAAATTGGAAGGGTCATTGGACTTGTCGTCACCCTAGTATTCCCACTTCATAGCTCCACTGGCCAGGTGCAAGGTTGCCCACAGAAGCAGGTGGAATGCTAGTGTTTACCCTGATTTCAATAGATACAAATATGTAACTGTCCATTGTTGTCTGAGGTTACCCATGGATAACAGCTGCGGTCTTCAACTGACTGGAGCAAACATAACATGGCATTGGAAATACAAGCATGGCAAATGTCTGAGACCGTAGACTTGATGGAGTAAGCAAAAACGAACACGAATCACGACGCTTGCAAGGCATCAGTGAACGAATCAAATGTGTATATATATATATATATTATATACAGTATATATATTATGATATTATGTATAATGTTCTGGAACACGTGTTGGCATCCCTGAAAAATGTTCTTCTCCTCTCGTCATTCCCTTCCAAAGCACATCAGAATCTCACATTGGCTACCAAAGTCATCCATGGGACACAGCCTTCATTCAAGTCACAAAAGCCATGGACCATTGTTTCACAGTTCTCTACGAAGTCACTTCTGGGCCCCCCCAAAAAAAAGCTGAACATCATGCAAGGCAGCCTTGAGTAGGTAGCTTTAAGATGCCTTAAGTACCGAACACTCAAGCAAAGCCTCCCTGGCCACAAGCTCACAGGTGGTCTGGACATGGGAGAATGTCATGATGACTCTGCAGCACCCTTCGACTTGCTCTTCTTGACCCTCAAGAGGACCAGTTTCTTGATCCGGTCGTTTGGCACCGGTGGACTTCAACGGCGTGCCATGCACTTCCTCCCAAAAAGGAACCTTCCTCCCAAAGCTGTCGACCGAGTCGACCAGCTCTCAGGCGGATCAAGGAAGGCAAATCAAATATGTAGTTGGATGTAGCTGGCTCTTCGGGTGTCTTCTTTTGATGTCGTTTGCACAAACCTTACCCTTTAAGGAACCTGGAATGAATCTGCTATGTCCACATCTCATCCCATTCACTCTGCAACTCCACATTCAAGATCTTTGTAGTCCCAAGCCCAACCGCGCTACAAATCCTCGAGTCATCCTACAAGGCCCTAGGCATTGTTTCATCCCTTTGGGGGAGTGTTTAGTTGCATGTTTGAGCAACTCGGCAGAAGGTCGAGCACGCCGACCCCTAAGGGGTCGAGCATTGCTCAGGCAAATCGGAGCCAAATGTTCCCCCAAACTCTCAAAGCAGGTATACACAGGTCAAAAAATTGCTCAACATGGAGTGTTTGGGCAAGGTGCCTCGCTCAATCAGGACCCAGCAAGGAAATCAGGTTCGGAACCCGGGCTGGACCAATACTATTTGGACGAACATGGACGAACAATTCGGTTTGGACACCCATCGCGGCCTCTCGGTCTGGCTTCTCAAACTCATTGGGATTCTGCATCCACCTGAGCGATAAAACCCTTCGCGTTCTGATATGCTCCTCTGGCTGGCTGCTGTGATATGCTTCCCCAAACACAATGGCGGATTACAACGGACCATCCTTCTTAATGTCATCATCGATGGTTCTCCAAGACGGATGTCTTCGTGGGAAACAGAGCTTCTTGAAATTGTGCATCAAGGGGTGAACAAAGGAAAACTTATATCTTCAGGAGGAATTGACTCTGATTTCAATTAATTCCAACAAATTGCACAGAACGTGTTTTCACGGTGGCTCTCCGTATGGCGGTCAGAAACGTTGGGCCAAATACAACGGAATGCAGTAAGATTGGACCACTATCTTGTTGTACTATATAATGGCATGTTTAACATGGGCTATCTATATAGATGCCTCCCAGGAGAGGATATGAGTTTCTGTTGTTGTTAAATTTACAACATGACAATGTAGTCTTTTGCAGCAACACTTTCTTCCGGAACTTGCCGAAGATATTCCCTCCAACAAACAAGCACATGATTCAATGCTGTTCATGCAATTTCAATGTGAACGGTTGAGGTGTTTACGTTACGTATCCACAGCCTGATAGATTTTATCTCAATACATCAGGCTTATGAATCCAATTCCTGACTCTTCCTGAGTACTTGTCAGGAAGGGTACAGGCCATGATAGCGAAAGTATGGCACCCGGAGCTATAACCTTGCCTATATAGCTGCAGTGGGCTGGAGCGCAGTGAATCTTCACAACACACCCACTGTTTTCAAGGAAAAAAGCACCTCCAAGAAGTAGGGGTCCATGGAACTGGTCAAACAGGAGAAGCAAAGAAGCAACTATAGGAAAGAAGACCTCAGGCCCCTTCTTCAGGGCTATGCAACATTGTCCAAACATGTCCAACCTCCCAAACGTGCTGTGCAATTTGTACAGGGAAGGCCTTTGAGTGTCGTTGGATTTGGGTTCAAACAACATTATGTTGTGTGACTGGCCTTGGGTCATCTTAGTCCCTTTTTGAACGAGTCAACCCTTCCCCCCAAATAAACTAATGTTGCAATTGTGCAACCCGCAGTCGCGTGCTTTCAAGATCATATATTTCTCAGTTGTAGCTGGAAAGTTGACGGGCGAAGCCTCTAGACCAAAACATTAATGGAACCCGCCCCAAAAAAGTAACAAAAACACGGGCCAGCAACTCATTCCATCTTGGGCTCCTTGGGACCTCATACGGCCTCGTTGGCCCCATATCGCCCCATGGATCATATGGATTTGCAACGCCAACGAGGCCATGACCAAAACCTCCTTGTCCTGGCCCCGTCCACTGCGCCCATGATGGTTTCGGCGGCCAAAACACATCTGCGCCGCTTGGGCCCCGTTGATGATTAGCCGGGAACAGCGTTCCACCAGCCTTGGAAAGGGCAAACTTCATGGCAAAAGCACTGAGAGATGGCTACCCAAGGCCACGACGCAAAGATACCCAAAGCCATTTGCAGATTCGGTGCGTCTTTTGATAGGGAGACCTCCCACTCAATTGGTTGGTAATTCATCATTTTTAAATGTCCTCATGATATCGTCCCCCACAACACAGGATCTATCCACGCATGTTTATCGTAGAATGAGATGGTGCCCACAAGAGAGGGAGAATGAGATGGGCCTAAAGAGTCTCGCTGAAGCCTTATCAAAATAGTTAGGCAATACTCACATGTTTTAACGGGCTATATAGTGTCTCGAACACCACTGTTGTCGTACAAAGCTTGACAAGCTAATAGCAGCACCAAAACGGGAATCCAATCAAACTGATCAGAGTGGGTTGCGGGTTCGCGAAGAGTGTTTGCCCTGCTAAAAGTATTCATTTATATATAATAGCCATATTCTATATTGATTATATAGATACAGTAGATAGATTGGTCAACAAACTCATGTCCTCTTAAAGCTTTGGTTTGTTGTTGAACTTCAGCCCCGGTGCTGGCCTTTCCCCCTACCGATGCTTCACAAACATGGCACGGGATAAACTATGGCAGTTTAAACATCAATCCACAGAACTAGCCGGAACACTAAATCAATAGACTGTATAGTGCAAATAACCATGGCTCCAGCAGCCAGTCGTGGTTTAATATATATATATAGTGTTTGTTGATGTTTGTTGTCTTGCTAAGGGCAAGGGCAACACGATTGGTTTGAGGTTGCTTCGCTTGAGAGGTCCGCTGCTTTCCAGATTCTTTCAGACTGGATCGACCGCTCGCCCCAGCGACAGGACCGCTGACCGGTCTCACTTCTGACTGCTGAAACACTTGTAGCGTCCTTGCTACCAGTCGCGATGGCCTCCAACATAATGGTGATGGCCTCCACCTAGTAGCTTCTTGTCTCTCCAAAAGTTAACCAAACCCCGAAAGAGAGCTTCCCATCACTGAGGCCAGCAACGGCTTGCAAAGCGGCATGAAGGAAGGGCCCAAGTTTTGGGCCATGGAGGACAAACACCTCGATCCAGCAGTGCGTGAAACACACAGCAAACATCGATTTGAGGGGGGCATCAGTGTCCTGAGAGTGCCATTCCTGAGATTGAATCAAACAATCAACAGGATCAAACACCTCAACAGCTTTGAACTCCCCTCACAGCTGCTCTTGGCGTGAGTTGGTGGGGGCTCATCTGTGTGGCAAGTGATAATATACACTGGACACATACATATTACATCATATTAGAAACCATCAAATGCCTTCTGCTGATCGATGAAAGGAAAACATTACCAGCTGGGACCCCAAAACATCAGGGTGCCTTTTGTAATCATAGGTGCTGGCAGGTAGGTCTGCAAGTTTGCATGCTACAAGCCATCCAGTCCTTGAAACATCGCTAGGACTGCATCCGATCCACCCGTCCACGCGTTTGGGTCGGCAGGTCAACCCGAGTCCGGTCAGTCGACCAACTCGTCCCTCGGTCAGGTGGTTTCGCCTCGTCTCGTCTCGTGATGTCTCGTTTCGGAGCGGAGGATGACAACGGTCGCAGCATGCAAACGGCCCTCGTTGTGAAAGGCATCTATCATCTATCTATCTAACAATCTAGATAATTTTATATACCTGGAAACCCGTATGATCATTCTTTTGATCACTATGGCCTCAAGCCGTATTGACCGCTTTTTTGTGCATATGCCGTATTTGACTCCATGTTGAATGAATGGGAACTGTATACGAATATGCCCGTATACTGGCCATATTTGCATGCATATTTGGGGGTACCCGTATGATAACACGTAACCATATTCCAACATATACTACGTAGTGCGAATTCTGCTTTGGAACACCCGAATATAGTACCCTATTGAGCCAAGAGAGGAAACCGTATATGCCCGTATTTGGGCAAAACCCGCAATGACCAACAAAATAGTCAAATGCCGTATGACCCCCCAAAAATGAACATACTGTTCCTCAGGTAAATATATGTATACACATACATATATTGTAGACACATAAACGGTAGATACCTTAGTTCTGCAGAATGCTGATCCTCGGCGATCGCTTCTAAAGACTTGTGAAAATATGGTGTTCGTCTTCGGCGGACCAAGTGGACCGAGTCATTCGTTTTGATCAAAACCGGAAGGCGTTGTTCCTATGATCTATGTTATATATATGTATATCGTTTTAGATATGTTTTTACTTTTATATATGTTAGATATGTTTTAGGTAATACTTGCAGTCATGACTCAATGAACCAGTCACATTTACTGTTCAATAACAAATGATATTCACCTACCTAAACATCAAGTGGGTCTCTTCAGTGATCTTTCATTATCCTCTTAAACCAAGAAAGAAGGACTGTCTCAGCAAATTAGTTTGCCAAGGGACTCGAAGAGAGCAATGATCGATCTGTCATTGTCCGGAGTGTTGTTGAACTTCTGGAAGAGCGGCTCAAGCAAAAGTTGTTTGTACCTCAGATTCCCTGTGCCAAAACGTGCGCCATGGGAACCCACCCTGCCCGGCCATGAAATAGGCTCTACTCCAAACTGTCGCCGTCAAATCAGGAGGGTTTTGCACTAGCACCGGGGTATTGATTAGGAGATACTGGTTGGTATACAACCTCATGTACGGTCATGAAACATAGAATCTAAACCACGATTCCTGAAAGGTGCAGCACGCTCAGAAGGTATGAGTTAATCCTGACTTAACTCCACACCCCGGTGGCAAATCCACGCTCCAGTCGCACCCCAGTGGTGTGACTTAACGCACTTGGTATGAAAAATACTTCAGCAACTCAGCAGCAAAGCATAAAGCATAGAAAAACAACACCAACTCTACATGTATGGTCGCAAATGCTCCAGATGGTCGACTCTCAAACTGAAGAGCTCGAAGTCGGTCCCGAAGTCGGAGTCAACGATGTGGCGGTCTTCATGCTCGGAACATGGTCTATGGTGGAAATTCCACATAAACAGTTGCTAGCAAAGAACATACATGCAAAGGCACAAAGTATCACAAAGTCATAAATAACTTCAGTGAAATGTAGGGATCCCTCCCCAAATTATAAAGTGGTCCAAAATAGGATCTAAATGTTAACAAAATAACACTGACCACCCGCCCTTGATCGAAGGGATGGCTGATCGAAGGGATCACGTCCTCACGCCAAGACCGAGGTCGGCACCGTTGGGTGTCTAGCTCTGGCCCTGACCGGTGCCGTCGTCGAGAGAGGCCGGTACTGTGCGGATGAACACCAAATCTGCGGAACAAGTTGAGGTGTGAGACTTGGGTGCTGCAAATCTGAAACTTGGGTGCCTGAGACTCTGCAGGTCTCAGCATTCAACCGCAGCTTCTGGGCTGAAACAAATCAACGTTGTAGTGAACTGTTGAACAACATGCCCAAGAATGGAGACAAGGACGTCCATAGCATCCTCAAAGAACTCTGAGGACATAACTTTGGGGCGTTGATCAGCACCAGTTTCGCATCAAATTCCCACACGACAAATCTGAACAACTCTCCTTCAGATTCTTCAAGAAAGGGTAAACTCATCATGGACCTTTAAGCATTTGGGAGTTTCCATCAAATTGCAGGAGGTCGATGATTTCTCCCGGGCGCTTTTCTGCTAGAAAAGAACTATGTAATTATGTAACTGCTCAATCTTGTCAGAAATGGTCTGGACATGCTGGGCTTTGAGATGGTTTGAGTGATTTCATCCCAATTCTATTCTATCCCACTTCTATGACGCAAACTTTGTCGTACCATGTGTTCACCGCGCACGCGCGCGCGCACGCGGCTCGTTTTCTCGATTGATCGCTGGAGCCGTGAATTGGCGGAGCGAGCCACAACCCAACGGCGGCCGGATTCTCTATGTGCGTTTTCTCGCATGCTTATTGTTTGGGCGTAACACTTGACGGATGTTTTGTATGACCTGTGTCCTGTCGCCAACAAAGCGGATAGCGCCTACAGCATCAGCCAAAGTCCCCACAGCATCATAGAGGATGAGCAGGTTCTTGGCCTGCGATCGAGACTAGTTCTTGGCCGATGGATGATGATCAAGGTTGGACACAGTCGGTAGTAAGTGCCGAAGCATGTTGAAGCTTAAAATAAGCTTGACTAGGGGACCCTCCAAAGATCGTGACATCTTGTGATGATCGTTTTTACAGTATATAGATTGTTTTAGACTATGGGGGCAACCTGTACCATTTTTTTAAATGTATTCCTTCTCAAACCTTCTCTATAATTGAATTTCCAAACAATGCAGAGTTTGGCGTTGCACGACGTTGCGTGCCCGGTTGGAAGCATGTTGGCCGTTGGGATCTCGACATCGACCTGGTGGGAGTCGAACCGAGTCAACATCCCATCGAAGCATGTGAAGGCGTCACTGAGTCAAGGTGCGGAATTGGAAGGTTGGGATGGCTGGAAAGGGTCAGGAAGTTTGAGAAACATGATGCATTTGCTGTGAAACATGTTCAGTGGCCAATCCAGGAACAGTGCCGGTCTGGGGCTGCCCCAACTGCTTTTTTGGTCTCTTTTGAGCCGGTGGAAGTATATATATACAAATGATCAATTGAAAAAGACCAAAAGGAACCTCACCAGATCGGAGGCGGATCGAACCAAGCCCTCCGATTCTTCCAAACGACAGGTGTGGCACACTGATGGACGCCACCTCGACCCCGGTTGGTGCCTGGTAATACTGGAAGGCCTTGGAAAGGGTCTGTACCTGAGCACCGCCAAAACTCTACAAAGTCAGCATCATTTTCACAGATTGAGGGACTTGGGAAGGTCTGTTTATATCTGTTTATCCGAATCCTTCAAATTCTTTGCAGTGCAAAACTCACCGTGTGGACTCTGTTGTTGATTCTATGGGGGCACACGAGGGGCATTTTCCCGGGTGAACAAAGCGTTGCCACACTTGTCCATGGCTGGAGGCTTATGTAAGGTTTGAGGGCATCGTCAGGCTGACCGCGTTTCTGCTGCCTGGTTCCAACATCCCGTCAGTCCACAATACTGTACCAAAACATGACCCCCTGCGCCAAACCCTCAAGCAGGCAATGAATGAATTACCAAATTATCATCTTGTTGAGTTCCAGCATTGCCACAGTAGGCATCCAAGGGGGAATAGGACGGTTTCGCTGGACCATTCGTTAAACAGAAAGGACCATACTTCCTCCAAAATGTCACAGAGAAAGGATCAAATACTCAATAATTGTATAATATACTATAATCTCAACATTATATACCCGATGGATTCTCGCAAATGAGGACAGTCCAGCCAAAGCAACACCCACGTGAAGCTTCAGGATCGAACAACCCAAAGACCAGGCCCAATGCAATGATGGTCTTTTCTTGTCAAGTCGTGTGCCATCTACTTTGCGTCGATCACCCAGAGCCTGGAACCAACTACTAAATCCAAAGATGAAGAGGTCCCGTCAAACGACTCTCCTGCCATCGCCCAGTGCTTTCCTCCCAACGGCAGAACTGCCTTCACCGTCGAGTTCTGGGCAGGCCCGCCGTCATCGCCCTCTTAAGGGCTGACACACATCGGACGATCCCTCCTCGAGCTGGGCATCCGGCGATATCATCCAAATACGGCACCAGCAAGTGTCGAGCCTTAGTGGGTCGATCCAAGCCTCACTGGGTCGATCGAAAAAATGAGTGACGACAGGACAGGACGTGCGACGTGCGGCGAGACAGTTAGCGTTGGATGTCGCCAGATTCACCCGTGAGAATGTGTGGTTTTACAGGTTCGCTTATGATACAGTCTCTGGGAATTTTGCTTTGGCCAAGACTCAGAACAAGTGGGTGGGTGGGAATTGACATAGGGAGACCCATGTCAAAATGGTGGGGGAAGAGATTCATCAGCGAAACAAATACACTTCCCGGAACTAACATGGAAGTGGAGAATGGCCCCTTGGAAGACCATGAAATCCACTACAAACAGGTGGTGCCATCCATGTAACCATGTTAGTTCCAGGGAGAGTAGCGGTTGGATTGTGAAACGGAGACTGATAAGCAGCCGGTTCCTGGACGGACAGTGCAACAACATTGCATATTTCCTTCGTTCAAACCACAGGGCCTACTTCTGTCGTGACCAGAGCTCCTGCGTGACCTCCCCTGAGCTATGTCGTTTTCTCATCAGAACGATGTCCTCCGCTTTCGATCTGCGTCACTGACTCTGGAGAACCTGACTCTGGTGACAACCGTGTCCTTGGAAAAAGAACTTAACTTTGCTTAACCTTTCTCCACCTGTTCCTTTTCGTGAGGAAACCAATCCCCCTCAAAAAGCGTGGGCTGGTGATGCAACGATTTGAGACGCAGTGGATCGGGCGGTCGTCTGTGAAAAGCACCAGAACACCTTCCTGACCATGGTACCATCTCTTCGAGTGTGGCGAAGGCACTGCAGGCAGCCTCAGGAGATGAGCGTCCCCGTCGGCCGCTTTCGGGCGACGTTTGGACCGGTATAGCTGAGATCAGCTGAGGTTTGCACCCAATCTACCGGGTTTCTGACCTGTTGTTTTGAGGTCAAAAGTAGAACATTGAAGATCAAATTCCAATCCATCCACCTCCATCCACCGATTGTCCTACTCAAAAAAACGCGGTACTCAGGGATAAGATGCTGGAAACACCTGCGAACCATGGGAACCTCTTCAACCCGTCACTGAATATCGGAGAGCTGGTCAAAAGACCCTAACATGGGAGTTTTGAGCATATTTATGAGTCCGCACGAGCTCCCATCATCTCTATCTCTTCATGTCGCATTTAGAAACAAAAGCATTGACCACGTTGAACGGTGTCAACTTCCCTACATCCAAATCACACATGAAGCAAGTATGGGCGAAGCGCCATGCAAACTCATCATCCAGTTCCAAAAGGTCACAGTCTATAGAGGTGTCTCTGTGTCTCTCTCTCTCTCTCTCTTTGGCTCATGGACCATGACTCATGGGTGCAAAACGATCTTCCAAAAACCATCAAACAAAACAACACAAACCGGGCCTGAAATGAACCCCATGATGTTGAACCCTGGACTCGTCAAGATTTGGTCGCACCTCCTGCACTCTCTTGTTCTTGTCCAGAACTCTGAGTAGCAGCTGCTGCAAGACAGATCTCAGCACCTCCAAGGGGAAGCACTGCTGCCGAAGAACTCAGTGGGGTCTTAAAAGACATAATCAAACAAAATCTGGTTCGGGAGTCTACAACATAATCAAACAAAAGTCTCTTTAATCAACCTTCATGCTTTGGGATGTTCATGTTTGGACCCCACACCCAATGCAATATTCACATATAAATAAATATAAACACATGTCGGCAGATTTGGGAGCATCCTGGTTACAAACATGTTGCACATCGGTCCCTGGCATTCTTCTCTGAGGCATGAACTTTGGTATCCACATTCCTAAAAGCACAAAGAACCACTGGACCACAAATCTCGAACGGTCTAGTAGTCTAGGTTTGGCTTGTCTTTGGAACATTCCCATCCAAGTGGTAATTCTGGTATATTCTGGTTTGGTGGCGTCAATTCTGATTGTCTATTCTGCTCCAGCCTGCTCCGACATGGGATTTACGCGCTCGTTGCAAATCCATGAAGAGAAGCGTGCCACTGTCCTGCAGAATGCTTATGCAGCCGGAACCAATGATGGGTATCGGGTATAGTGGTAAGCCCGCGATGAAATCAGCTTATGCAAACAACACAAAACACAAACAAACTTGGTGGAGGAACACACATGACCCACCCAGGTTTCAAACATTGCCTATCATATTCCTTCTGGCACTCAACTGCTTGAACGAAAACCGGGCGATGTCCAGCAGGAGATGCTCCGGAGCAAGGGCTTTGGGGCCTGGCACAGCCTTAGTACCGAAAGTGACGAAATGAAAAGAGAACAAACCTGGAAGAATCTTGAACAAAAAGCATGTTGAAACCAGAAATGCTTGCAAGTTTTAATTACTGTGGACATGTACATATAGTTTTTGTGTTGTTTTTGTTGATTGGCTTCTCTCCATTGCTTCATCATGCTTGGAAACCTTGGACCATTCAGATCACCAGTCGTGGAGAAAGATCTGAAGACCCTTCCGACCGGGCTCCCAGGCTTTAAGAGATGCTCCATCACCTGCGGCCCGAGCCCAGCTGCCGCTGCTTCAAGGTGAAATTGGTGAGACCCCGTTCGAAGAACTGTGTTGTGTTTTGCAGGCATTCCAACAAGTCGAAGTTGTTTGTTGGTGTCATTTCCTAAGCAGGTCCTGAGGTAGGATACAAAGATGGGATGAGAGGAGGTTAGGCTATATTGGAAAGGCCACCAGCGGCCTTTCTAGAATTGAGTTGAGCAGGAACGCCACCCACAAAGAAGCGCTAGTTGAAGAGGACAGCATCAAAATACATAAGTTGAAACATGCATCAAAACATAAAAGAGCATTTGCTTGTATGAAATCCAACCTGAGAGCTTTCCAAGCAAAACGTCAATAAGCTTCACAATGTTAGTTAGAACTGTTAACTGTTGTTGTTTTCTTTTTCTGAATTCCTACGTGCAACATCTTACAACCTTACAGTGCTACCCACACCCTCAAAGTGGATCCACTCTGTAATAAGAGACTGCTCACCTTGTCCATTCAAAAAAGCCTGGTCAGAGTTTCACTTGCGCAGTCAGCCATCCTACATACCCCAGAGCTCTACACTCCAGGAGCTACGAACATGAGAAGATCACGTTCCAAGATTGACCAAAAACACGAAAATCATAGGGTCCAAAATGGGCCAAGCCCTCTCGCCCTGACAATCGCAGGACAATTGTACAATCCGCTCTCAGCACGCGACTTTGGGCATATACTGCGTCAAGCCTTCCTGGCAAAGGCAGCAGGCTGGGACAAGAATCATAGGGGTTTATCCACGTTGGAACTCTTGCCTCAAATCACAACTGACCATAAATCAAAACACATTCCGTGGGATGATGCCAAAAGGATGTTTTTTTGGGCTTGCACCAAGAGTTCTGACCATACACGCGGGTGGATTTGTGTGTGTCTGACGCACTGTGCAGTGTGCTGTTGGTGGACACACTACTGTACTTCTTCACCTTCGGCCAGGGACTCATGTTTCAGGGTACTTGACTGTTGCTCATGATCCATCAGGCACTCGAGAAACATCGGGCAGCAGGGCAGCACCCTCCATCCAACAAACATGTATCTGGACACCTTGTATATAGAGGAAAAAACACCTTTCAAAGCCATCCCTTTTTCACCCTCCACGTTGAATAAAGGGCGCCAAAACCACCGAAAGGTTGTACATGATCATCTACAGAACCAGGACTAGTCACATTTCGACATAATCATGAAGCACATAATCGTCTATGAGTCTTTTCCTGAAACTATTATGAACCTAAACCGATGTTAGTAGAACATGTCATAGTCTATGAGTACCCTTGATCTTGAATTCATATCAGAAAATTCGAAACCCAACGGCCCCGTCGACGGCCGTGGCCGTATCCCGCGGTGGCCATGCGAAACAAAACGGCCGACATCCACCGCGCCATGCAGCCGAAGGCGATGGCGCCCAAGGCCAGGACCCCGGACTCCTGGACCTGGCACCCGGAGTTTTCGACTCAAACGACTGGAGACAGGGAGTTGTTGGTTGGACTGGGACCCCCAACAGAAGCGTGGGGTTGAACGGTGGTAGATGTTTCTGTGACTGTGTTTTTCTTGCTTCTTCTTCTTCTTTTGGTGTGGGTGGGAAGGTGATGTGAACATCCAGTTGTCCCGTGGCAGAGCGCAAATGGGATAGGCCCAGGCTCCCAGGCTGAGTTCTGAAGAACCTCTGGAGAGGTGTCCCAGAATGATCCGATTGCACGGATGCTGGGATCACGGCTGGAGATGAACCGAGACAACAGTTGGCTTGTCACTTTCCCCAAGCCCAAGCCAGGCTTCTAAATGCAGGCCCAGTAGCCGAAAGGCTGGATGAACCCTCCAACACTGCCCAGCTAACCCCCGGACAACCTGCCTCCCAGCTCTCATGCTCGAGCTTCTTGGAGATCAAGGGCAAAACCACCTTGACCAGTTGTGGTTCATGCTCCGTCAATGACACTTAACAAACGATGGCTGTACTGATGGCTGTTTTTGTTCAGTGTTTGCCATCCCTTCTACAGTCGCCGTTAGAAGCACCACAACGAGCGAGTCGCCCTTCGCTCTGCGAAACGAACGCTGACACGGTCCGGTCCGCCTCGAGAATGTTCTCCCGATACCTTGGCCACATGGATTGTGCTATATAAGTACGCTGAAATGCGTTTGAAACACAATACCCATTGGCCCGTTGTCCAAATTTGGACCACAAAAACAAATCCTTTGGACGATCTGCATCCATGGGCTGAATTTCTGCTCGCCTGAGTCTCCATACTTACATAATCCCCCCCTTCATATGTTTTCAAATGAATCAACTTGACAATGAAGTCTATTCGAACCTAATTAGTGGTCATCTTTACCTCATTGGAAGCAGTAGTTGCAGCTTGTTATATTTAGGTGTAACATGTTATAAAGGTCATTAAGCTGGGAGCTGTTCATGGCTCTATGTTATTTTCAACTGAATGTAGAATATATTAACAAACTATGAACAAACAAACACACATTTTATGGTCGACACAGAAGGTCTTTCTCCAAGATGCATATGAGAAAGATTGTCTAATGAGGAAGCTGCAGCCTGCGGGGCACAGTTGAGTGCGATGAGTGCGACACCGAAATAGAGTGTCAATTCGTAGGACAACATTGGTACGTATGGGTCCAAGCTGCATGTTCCAAGCCCAACATCTCTCAGCTGTCAGTGTGAACCGTTCATTTCACCCTGCAGGGTCAGGGTTCCGGACGGTTGCATCATCTTACATCTTACTGGGCAAGCCCATAACTTTCAATTGAACAACACCTGGTTTGGAGAGGGTGCGGGTGTGTTTGCATGAGTTTGTTATATGCTGTTATCCCGCTTTTGATGGTTCGGGAAGCCAAACATGGCTTCCAGTTCACGCCAAACATGGCAGGGATGCCCTGAGGTCCGGAGTGTTTCCGGTTTCGCGGTTTGGCATCCGGATCGGGAAACTGATAAAGTGCCGGTTTGGCTCATCATGGTCCGTCCGTTTCCCTGGAAAAACATAGAGGGTATTTCAAGGCCACGGGGGCGGTGACGCAACAAACTAGCCGGACTGAGTAGGCAGGAATCTTTCTCAGAGTTGCCTTTTGGTTAGGTTGAATTCTTTCCTCCACCCGGTTGGATTCTCGGAAGCGACACGAATCCCCCGCAAGAAAGGTGAAAGGTGATCCAATTGATAGCTGGGTAGAGCTGAGACAGGGTAGAGCATATGCGACCAGATCATGTGACCGACCTGTGCTCTTCTGGAAGAGACAACATCTAACGACAAAATCACAAGGGGATACGGTGATAGACTCATAGACAGGTCATACCTGAACCCAGAAATGTATGTTCAATAGATGTTTCAATCAAAGATTGGTGATACGGTGATAGTACTGTTCTATCTTCTCTCCAGAGAAGGGTTGTGGGACCAGCTTATTTGAGGACCCCAGGCAATGACTTTCTAGTGTTCCGCCAAGCAGCATGATATGACTTCACAAAGGGTTTCTGTGAAGATTGCCTGTCCAGCCAAGGACCACGTCCAAAATCCAGTTCCAACCGAAGCCGTTCGCCATGCCAACGCCCGACCGGAGCCCCGCCTTCCTCGCTGTCCACTCAGCACCCCAGGCGCCACCACCATGCTGACCCCCGCCATCCTCAAAGGTGGTGTTCCAGGCAACTGAGAGTCCCCTATATGTAGAAGGGATTGGACATGAAACTCATGAAATGGGGCTTTGAGCTTCAGGACTTGCTAGAATGGCTGCCCGCCTTTTGAAGCTGAGCACTTCTTTGTGGACAAGTCAAATCAACTGTCATGCACGTCCTTTCTCAAGTGAATGTTCTAGTGGATGTTCACTCCAAAGTGTTATTCGAATGTCTTCGGTAGTTGAATCAGCGCAGCGGATGCGCTCATGCCTTGTCTCCGGGGTTTAATTCTTCTGTGGCTCTTACTCGGGACAGACCTGGATGGTCGAAGTGCCTCTGAGGTCTCTCTTTAATTGGAAGCCTTTCATGGCTAAAGCAGCCCCGCCCCACAGAGATCCTATGATGGGTCCATTCTATTCTGGAAGCACTGTCATTCGCCACCATCCTTGACTTGGCAATGCCGCCTTGGTCTTCTTTCTTCACATTCTGCTTGGTGACATTCTCCAGCACCAAATATCCTGCTCATACTGAAAACCATTTGCAACAATGGTCTCTGGTGCAACTTGTTCTCCAGCACACAATGGTCTCCTGTACCGGTTGTTCTCCAGTTCGTCTGGGCCAACCACTCTTCAGTGCTGCTTCAAACATCGGACATCTTATCTCATGGGCTCCAGTTCCCTCTTGGACTCTTAAAGTCAATGTGTTCACCTTCAATCTCGGAATCTCAGCAGCTTCTGGAGAACTGGATCCTTTCGGGTGTCAAGCTTCTGACTGTTCAGCCACACTGTTGAGCCTCCGTGACGATGCAAAGGAGAAAAAAAGGCTGAATGAAATATCATGTGCGATTTCAAAACCTAAAGAAAAGAAACAACCCAAACGACACATCCAGTGAAGCACGAACCAGGAACTCCTCAGTATATATTGGTACCACTGGAGACAGAGGCAGAATATATGCAGAATGGTCCCCCGGGACCCTTCTGCACCCTTCCGCCGGAGGACGTCCTAGCATTCCCACCATGTCTTCTTTAGCGTCCAGGGCGGCATCATCCCACCCCCTTCGTCCGGCCGAAAACCAACGTTTTGAAGACTGAGGGCGCTGCATCATCGTCCTCATCGCCCTGCTCCTGCGTGGGCGACATGTTCACACATATTCCGTGGGAGACGTTCTCATTGTTGGCCAAATGGTCGGAGAAGCTGGAAAATGAAGCAGTCTGGTTATGGTTCCAATCTGTTCCAAAGTCAGTGTCGACCACATGGACACGAACAGTTAGGACATTGCGGTCACGGCAAATTTGGGATGAACGTTTTTTTTTTCAGCTCTGAGGTGACAGGTGAGGCCAAGCGTGTGGGCCAAGGGGACCGGTGAAGCCCATTCCCATCGCCGTGGTTTACAGGATTTTGCGACCCCGACTTCATCTACTGGTAGGTAGGGTAATTTCCGTTAGAGCCAGCTAAAACATGGTCAACAAAGACCTAAACAGAAACTTTCTGGCAAGTTCTGGTTAGCAACCCGCTGTACATCTCTGTACCTATAGCATTTGACCTGAGTCCTCCGAAGGCCTGATGACCCTCGTAATAATACTTGGGCAGTTGTTTTGTTGGAAAGTCCTTCACATAATGCAAGAACTTGCAATGCAAAAATGCAATGCAGTTTCACTATACCTCCAGAGTCATCATGCGAGAACATTCCTCCAGCCTGCATCAAAAGCTCTCAGTACCTGAGTACATCTAGTCCCTGGTCATCCAGCTCCCAAAACCAGAATGTGCGGCATCCGGCTGCATCGCATGTCCCAAAACCTGTCCAAACCTTGAAAAACACCGCACAGTCTCGACCACATTCACTTCGACCACCGTGCATCACACCTTTTTACCGGTGAAACGGAGACCGCCGGATCCGAGGCACTTCTCAGGCGGTCGAGTCGAAGCGTCACTCCGAGTCCTGTGGGAAGGACTCCCGAATCGGATGCGGATGCAGGTAGACTAGTTGGTTTTGAAGGAGCTTATGGTCAAATGATGTCAAATGAGCCATAGAACATAGAGCGAATCAAATAAAACATCAGCTGCTGACGTCCAAATCAAAAAGGATGTTGCAACGAACGAATTGTGTTTTGTCTCTTCGATGTTGCTACTGAACATCTCAAATGATTCAATGATGCACGTGGGATCACCTGGGCCATAATATCATCGTTCCCTTGCTCAGGCTTCCCTTTGACTAGATTTGACTAGAGAGGTGGACCCTTCGGTTTCCAAGGTCAAGATTGGGTTAGCAAGCAGTTCAGAAAATAAGTGGGGACGGGAGTGGGTATGCTGTGCTAACTTTCTTCGGCACCAAAACTAATATACCAAATGTCTTCATTCTGAGCGTCCACATCTAGCAAATCACTTCCTCTTGAACAAAGGCTTAGTCTAGGAGCAATTCAAAGCAAATGGCATCGGTTTGAACCCACCGTACCCGCCTCATCCCTTTCGTCATCCTTCTCGTCGCCCTCATCTTCACCCTGATCTTCCTCATTCTCGTCCTGGACACACCGAAAAATCTGAAAAAATGCCTTGGTATCCGATGACCTAGTATTAACTGATAGTGTGTCGACCGTACAAATGTAACTGGATTCAATTAGTAATCACCTTGATCCAAAATGATCCAAACGTATCCAAACACAGACCAGTCGGTGAAGACACTTCGACGGTAAGGCCTCTGATTTCGTGTCGTTGCTTGCCAGCAGAGAGCAGAGAGCAGAGTCTATATTGGCTGGTGAAACAAGACAGCAAAGCAGAAACATGTACCACAGCTGTTGTACCTTCGACCCAGGCTAGCCAGTACAAATAGTACAAAACAATCACTGACATGAACTGCTGCAACGCCTGATCCCGCCCCACATGGAACAGCCCTTTCGCGCAATTAGGAACTGATGCAGTAGTTATATCATGATATAATATGTTATATAATCCCTATACCGTATACCTATAGCCTATACCCCTTACCCCTTAGCAGGGGGGACCTCACAAAATGTAAGTTACATTTTTCATGGTTAAGGGGGTGGGGATGTTAGACATCCTGTTCTTCGAAGAATTGGGACAACTCCGTCCCTTTTCACCTGGCACTGGGCTCCGTCCCTTTGGGCGGATCCAGTCAACCCGCTAAAGCTCCGGTTCCAGTTGGGTCAATAACTTTCGGGCCACAAGGTGGCCACTTGCGGCCCAACCCGCGAAACAAGGGCCGACTCGACTCCTACTCATATTCAGCTCAAAACCGAAAAAAAACACAGAAGCGCACATGTTTGGCCCGTGCGGCGCAGCCTTTACCACCGTATTTACCCTTGACTTGATCTATCCTGTACTGCCCACTCCGCAAAAAAGAGTGCCTCCTCATCTTCATCTCCAGCCTGGGGCACCAGAAGCGCAACCCGGTTTGGCTGTCGGACGGTGTCTCCAAATAGATCAACTGGTATCCAATGATGTACAGTCTCCTTTGGGGGGTTGTGCAACTCTATCCGCAATGGAGCACTGTGGACGATCAGGGATGTTCAGAAGCTCCCTACTGTTGAACATGGGAAAGGATAAAATTGACAAATATATATATATATAACAACAAGAACAACAACAACATGCGCAAGACCACTCTCAACATACACCTACGTGTAATACCAGCCAACTTCCGAGAACGCGTCCAGGAACCTTGAACATCCATCATCCTGGAACAAAGAAATGTTGCTTTTTTCTGGGGCTGAGACAGTCCTCTATTAATATATAGGCCAAGTTGTTTTGCCAGTAGATCCAGTTTCAACAAAGCAATGACTCCTACATACTGTGATCCTCGGTTCCAATGTGCAAAGTTCCGTATTGCCCGCTCTGAAGAATTCATTGAGGTGCATAGATGCGGGTCAGTAGATTGCTCAATCCCAACAACAACGCCGGGCCATGAACCCTTGAGATACCCCAAACACGTTTTAACTAATTTACTGTAGCTACATGATGACATCTAGTTACTTCACACCAACAAAACGTATTACTATGTTATACTATGTTACTATTTGTTCTTATGTCTATTATGTGGTAGTGGGTTCTATTTGTGCCCATCCCGCATGCACCCTGACACCAGGAAAGCGGTGACAGAAGCGCATGGGACGCGCTGGCCTTAAGGGCTGCCAGCCATGGTCTACTCACATATTATATAATATACATATATATATATAACAAAATGAAAGCGGGCAAATGCCCGGCAGTTTGGAGGGCCATGTTCCACTTCCCGGTGAATTCCTGTGCTGCATAGGAGCTCGAAGGAAGCGCACCCTTGGCTGACAAAATCTAAGTTGAATTGAAGGATCATCAATGTGGGACATATATATGTATATACAGTAGAACATTACTCCCCCATTTTTCTTAGAGGGTGTGCATTTACAGTACATCTTGGCATTTGACCAACACCCTCTGCAAGCCACGCGCGCGATATGTCGCGATCGGGAAGCCACCTCATTGGGCATGGGACGCCCAGCAGCATGGGCCTAAAGCACGACCAATTCAGGCGGAGACATGACATCTACTCTCTGAAGTACCGACTCAATATGATTTTAGGACGACCCCAAGGTTTGTTGAACCTCTTGAGAGTCCGGACATTCAGCAAAGCAATTCCCAACTCACCAACTCACAGTGAAATCCGTCTGGCTTATCCCAAAACCATCAAAACATATCAAAACCTCATTCTCCTGGTTCCCTGTTCCAACACCTTGGGTGCGCTCTGGTGCCCCGTCTTCCCACTCTTCCCTGGATGGTCCCAGTCACGACATCGTCACGTGCGCCTCGTGCAAGGCCTGGACGGTTCGCCACTTCCCCAGGCAGTCTAAGACCTGGCGCAGGGTCGATCCGACTGGGTTACGGGCCTTGAGACTTGAATCACGAGCCAAGCATCAAGGCTCCTTTATGGGAAATCGTATCTTACTGAGATGATGCGGAAGGCGGGTTTTCAGGGTCAGTTTTAGTCGTATGAGCGAGAGTCTAGCTAGGGCTGCTGCAACTATTACTAGTGGCTTACTTTAACCATCCCACTCCCACCAAAAAGTTTTTCAATGTGTGACCAACCAACAAACATCCAAGCAAGTCTAAACCATCAAGTATGCCGATTCCAATGAATCTGGATCTCTTATCGGATGACTCCGACTTGATCCTTCTGCGAGTCCTTGTTGCCTGACCGGCGTGGATGTGGCGCTTCAGCTGGAGGAGCAAGGTCTGCAGAAGAGGCCTGCCCAAGAACACACATCATCGAGGCCGATTTCGATGGAATACATTGAATCTCAGGCTTGCAATCAGGTAACCTGTGACGAGGGAGGGTCGGAGTACGGGTTGGTAGTTGGTGGATTCCTTTGGCTTGTCTAAGAGGCTCCTATTATATCCATCTGCGGTCCCCCAGGCCCCCAGGCCCCTTAGGCCCTGGCCCAAGAGCTGCTGCTTTGCAGTGAACAGTTATAGTGTTTCATCCTAGGAGCTGCTCCTGCTGCTGCTATGCAGGGCTTGGGATGTGAAGTACGTCATTCTTTGAGCGTCCACAGGGGTAAGCGACACGTTGTGTCTTGTCAGAATTCCAACGGCTGGGTCAAATCATTCTTCTCCTCACCTATCCCTCACCTCTCTACAGTGCAAAACCAGGCCGAAACCGGCACCTGCCCCGTGCCAAGATTAACGCCCCGCCACCCTTGCAGGTGCAACTGCAACTGCAGGTCCACCTTGTTGACATCCTTTTGGTCCAGCTGTTTGTGCACATGGCACTCCTAGTCCGTGGTGGCCTGCCCCACTGAATCTGTGTGGAAACGTCGTACGTACCCCTTCAAGTCTGATAAAGTTTCCCCAACAACGCACTGCCACAAAAGGTAGAAGTGCAAACTCTTCACTGTATGATTTGGATGGGTCATCTCCATTGAATTGTTTGGCGTCAGAATTGAGATTTCTAACCCACCCCAAACTCTGTCGCGCGACACATCTGCTCCCTCGCTCTATCAGCTCCGTTTTCATGGAAGCACCGATTGTACTGGAGTAGTGTGAGACTCTTCATATCGATACGAAAGCGATCAATTTAGCTGCCATGAGAGGGATACTTCTTTGAGAGGAAGTTCATCCAGTTTGAGAAGCGGTGAG